GTCCTCTGTTCTCCTATTCTTTCTAATACCTTTTCATTTGTAACCTTCTCTATCCATTATCATCATTCGCCTGTAACACCACATTTTGAACGCTTCTAACCTTTTCTTTTCCGTCGCGCCCACCGTCCATGTTTCGCACCCGTATGCCGCTACGCTTTAGACATACATCTTTAACAATCTTTTATTTCTAAATTAACTGTTCGTGAGCATAAAAGAGACTTCCCAATGGGGAATTATTTTACGTGTGGAGTACTTTATCCCAAAGGATATTATATCTAATAAATAATAAAACTAAATTATTCGAAAATTAGCAAAGATTTATTTTATTCTAGTTTATTAATGAATAGTAGCAATAAGTCCATGGGCAGAACCAGAGGTTTTAATGGTACCAGATGGTCCGTCGATAATAGTTCCAGTCTTGTGAGCTACGGGGGCTGCATGAACAATTGGGGCTGCGTGAGCATACACTGGAGCATGAGCAATGATTGGCAGAGGAGCAACAATGGCAGCTGCATGGGCAATAATTGGAGCTGGGGCAATTATTGGTGCTACGTGGTCGACGTGTCCCGGAGCAACTGCAGCAGTGATAACGCCTCCAGGTATTGGGGCAGCTTCAACTGCACCAGCGTCGGCGTGACTGCTAATGTGACTGCCATCAGGCCCTACGACGGTAGCAGCGGCTGCTGGTCCCTTTACCAAAGCACCGTGGGTTCCTGGACCTGCAAGGGTGGCAGCGTGACCTCCCAACCAGGAAGCGCTGCTCACGGAAACCACGGCGCAAAGTACGACAGTTATCTAAATTATGTTTTAATTTTAAATTAATTTCATTGATGTGTAGTAAATGAAATATTGTATTACGTCGTGTAACTAAATAAAATACAGATAAGAAATTAAAAAATTAAAAGTAGGACACTTACGAATGCGTTCATTTTGGTATGAAATAATTTCTTTGATCACGAAATGTTCACTGATAGTTTCTCAAAAAGCACTCCCGAATATATATTAAGACCCGCAACCTTCAGCCTTTGATTGAACTCAATTTTAATAACAATATCATGATAGAATCAAGGAAATATATTTGCTTTAGTTGCTCTCTGGTATTTGAGAACGTTCACTTTTTATAACGTGATTAACTGTTTGCAAAGAAGTTTTTAAATTTGTTTGCAACATAATGATTTTTCGGTTAAGAATATACAATACCTTCTTTATGTATTATGAGAAAATTATGGTTTAAATAAACTCCGATAATTTGTATTTAGAGGAATAAGAATTTTTAATGCGGGAAGTAAATCATTTGAAAAATTACGATGTTTAGCTTAGCGTCATACTAATCGTAAAACATATCAGTGTCTGAATAAAGTATGATTATGCATCTTGATAGGAAAATCAATGTCTTATGATAATTACTTTATGTACTTTAATTGTGTACTTTTTACTGTTTCTATAATTACAGCAGATTACATTTAAAATAAATGTGATAAATATGTAGTAATACAACAATTTTATTTATTGTTACTTTTAGAAATTTATTTTATTTATGTAATTAGATTAACATGATTTCAATTACGTATATTGAATATGATAATATGAAATGTACATTTTATGAATATGAAATACTTATTCTCTGAAATTTATTCAATTTAATTTATTTTGCATACCTACCCCTTTCCTTCTTAATTAAATAGCATCTTCATCTCCTTAAAATACTAATTATATTATTATTAAATTCATTTTTTCGTTAGCACCATAAAATATCTTTTCTTTTTCGCCATGCCTACCGTCCACGTTCAGCATCCATATAGCATCGCGTTGGAGACGTACACCTTTAACAATCTTTTTACAATTTCTATATTAACCGTTCGCGAGCATACATGTGACTTTCTTTTGTGGAAAAGAAAAGGCTACAAGCGTTCAAAACGATGAAGATACCGTGAATTAGAGAAGGTTAAAAACGAGGAGGTATTGGAAAGAATAGAATTATTATGAAAGTCAACAAGAAATAGGCGAAATAGGTTGGAACCGGGAACATTGGTGCGTAAAGCCAAAGGTCCCAGGTTCGATTCCCGGCGGGGGTGTGACAACAGCAACAATTTTTCCCTCATTAATTTGGGGTAGTTTGTAGTGGGTAAATAAAAAATCGAAAAAATGATTTCAAATTAATATTGCATATTAATCCACTATTAAGTAACTAAGAATGTCATAGGATTTCATAGATTACTGTTCACAAATAGTTAAGGATGTGGGATGTCCTAGTTTCAGGGAAATGCGAAGATGTATAGAAATTCTTTTATCAATCGATTAATGTTGTAATGATCGATCCAATATTTCATCATCATTACATCATTTTAATAACTGTTTCTTTAAATTTGATATAGATACGTTACAATGTTGAAGCGATGCAAAAAAATTGCTCTTTATATATATGGTAGCGCAACGGAAGTGGTACAAAATGTAGCTCGTGTGAAAAAGCTTTTAGGACTGACGACCTTATAATGATGGTGATCATAAAATAATTCTCAGTAAATTCAGTTATGTTCTTTATTTTTTACACATGAAACAATAAATAATATTGTCAGTCATTCTATCAATAGATAGTTGAAGCAATGAGTCCATTAGCGGATCCAGAAGTTTTGATGGTTCCGGATGGTCCATCGATGAGAGTACCAGTTTTAAGAGGTAAAGGAGCGACGTGAGCAACTGAACCATAGCTTAGAAGTGGTGCTTGAGCAAAGATGGGAGCAGATTGAGTAATAATTGGAGTGACCAAGGGAACAGTGTGAGCGGAGTATCCGGGAACAATCTTTTCAGAGACGACGCCTCCATCATATCCAATGACAGTGGTAGCAAGTGATGGATTTTTCAATAGGACGCTTGATGTTAGTGTGGAAGGATAGCCACCCCACCAGGATGCGGTGCTCACTGAGAGAAGGGCGCAAAATACTGCCAATGCCTGTGTAAGACAAAATTATTGATTAAAAATTAATTAAAAATTTACTACAACTAAAATTCGGTAAAAGATTTACTTACAAAAGAATTCATGATGATGATGATGTTTACTAGTAAAAGACTTGTTACTAATGAATTGTTTAATTTCTGTTCCTTTTTATATTAAATCATATTACAACCTTCATAATATTTTCTAAAATTTTGACTGAATTAATCCCTTCTTGATTCAAGCATTCACTTCTTGCAATTATTTGATTTTAATCGCTATCCTAATTGAATACTTTCAATTTTGATAAATCATTTACTTTTGAGTAATATTATCTAAGTTGGTGTTGGTTAAATGACCAAGATAAGATAAATTATATTTGAGTTTTCGGTTTTTTAACGACTTCCTAATTAAAATTTGTTTCTCTACTTAATAAATTTTAGAGAACGATTACTGTAAAAAGGAAATATGTTCATCGGAAAGTTTTGAAGAAACTTGTGAACAAAATTTCGAAGTTTCCTTGAAGTCATTACATTCTTCAAAATTAAAACTTCTTACCATTTACGACTTGTCAAATTTCGAATTACGTAAAACAATTTAGAATAAGGCAATTAATAGGTGCATACGTGCAAAAATTGTTTGAAAATTTTATTTTCTATTACCTATTTCTGAATTCTTTTCTTATCAGTCTATTGATACTTGAAATAATACAATTTATCTCAAGTGAAAACAACTTGCTTTTATTGATGTATAAGTAAGCAAATAATCAACTAGTATTTCACTTTGTTTATTATTGAGACAATTGGTTCGGAACATGACATCAAAAATTAGGGTGAAATCTTTGTTGTTGTTTACAGTATTTAAGGAATTTCTACAAATATTATGAAATATGTTGTCAGGGGCTTTCTCCAGGTCAGAAAAGGGTTTTGAATCCAGGTGGTTTCCAAAATATTGTAGCGATCTCAAAAATGATTTTTTGATAATTATTCACAAAGCCGTATGTATATACATAAATTCTAATAAAACAGTTTATGCCCCAATCCAATCAAACATATCTGAAAGGGGTCTTGATTACAATACTGTAAAATAGTAAATATACAATTAATATTGTATTGCGAATGGAATTTATGGTAGATTAGTATATTGCATTTGTATTTTCTTTTATTTTCCGATGGCTGATAAATGTAGGTACAAATTTATTAATTTAAAAAGTTGCATTTAATTAGAAAACTTGAAAGTTTTCGTTTTTCTATGAACATACATGTTGGTAATGCTACTTAATCCTTTTATTTCCGTACATTTTGACAATTCACCCAATTTTCAAATATCTTATACATTTTGAAATTGGACACTTCTTTATTTATGTAATTGTTGTTGTTGTCCTCGTCAGAATGTTCGGATTTGGATGCGGATTTTAAGCAATTTAACTTTGCAGTTATGGACTGTGCTACGCATTTTAAAATTTCTGCGAATCATCCATCAACCGTACTTCCCTATCATTTTCTACGTATCCTCAATTTAATACTAAGGCTAATGACTAGCTATAATCATATTAATAGTTATTGTTGAATTAATAATTTAATTATTTAAACTGAATATTTGTCTATTCGTTAAAATTTATTAGTAATGAATTGCTTCAATTATACCACTTGAAATTAATAAAATTTGCTTATTCTTTATACTAAATTAATCATATTTGTAAAATTGGTTTTTATATAACAATAAGAGTAACGAAGTGATTAGTTGAACTTAATGGCTGGTGGTTATGTTCGGATAATATTTGCTTGTTTAATATACCTATTCGCCGTGTAACGCCTACATTTTCGGAACATGCATGTGACCCAATTTAAAAAATGTTTGGAAAGGGAATTTTTAAGTCACAGTTTTAAACCAAATTAATTTTCGGACTCGACAATGATTTTCGGATTCCAGTGATAAACAACCTAATAATCCGTCCAGGATTGTAGTCAGCCAAATAATTCCCATTTAATAAATAAATAAATTGATTTTATTATATACGAGGGTGGATTGATAAGTTTCCGGCCTGACCAAGAAAAACAAGGTTTTTAAAAATTTTTTTTTTTTATTTCTCAACATAATCTCCTCCAAGGCTGATACATTTCTCATAGCGGTGTTCCAGTCTATTAATGCCATCTCTATAGACTGATTCGTCAAGCTCCTCAAAATAACCATTTACAGCTTCGATTACTTCTTCATTGTCCGCAAATCTCTTACCGCCAAGCCATTTTTTGAGATTAGGGAACAGAAAATAGTCACTCGGGGCTAGGTCTGGAGAGTAAGGAGGGTGCGGCATCAATTCAAACTTTAGATCGTTGATTTTAGCCGTCGCAACGATTGACGTGTGCGCTGGTGCGTTATCGTGATGAAACAAGATTTTTTTCTTCGCCAGATGAGGTCGTTTAATTTTCACCTCAATAAGTCTGCGTAGTATTGACCAGTGATAGTATTACCCTTTGCAAGGTAATCAATGTATATAATACCTCTTGCATCCCAAAAAACAGTAGCCATAACCTTGTTCGCCGAAAAAATTGTTTTTGCCTTCTTTGGAGTTGGTTCCCCTGGTCCAATCCACTGTTTAGACTGTTCTTTGGTTTCAGGAGTGTAGTGGTGGACCCACGTTTCGTCAACGGTTACGAATCGACGCAAAAATTCGCTTGGATTACGCTTATACAATGACAAATTTGCGGTAGAAATGTTTTTTCGAATCAATTTTTGGTCGACTGTTAGCAAACGCGGCACCCATCTTGCACAGAGCTTTTCCATATGCAAATGTTGGTGCAAAATATGTTGCACACGTTCATATGACATCTTACAGGTCTCAGCTATCTCACGCACTTTCAATCTGCGGTCTCCCAGCACTATTTGATGAATTTTTTCGATCATATCTGGAGTTGTGACCTCAACGGGGCGTCCTGAGCGAGGCCCATCAGAGGTGCTCACACGACCCTTTTTAAACTCGGAAACCCACTGCTTAACGGTTGAATATGACGGGGAGGATGTCCCCAGTGTTGAGTCCATCTCTTTTTTAATTTCCTTCGGCGTTAACCCCTTCAAATAAAAGTATTTGATGACAGCACGATTTTCCTGCTTTTCCATTTTTACGAAAACCACAGAGGCGTCTTGTTCAGCGTGCTGTCAAACCTACACTAGCAAGGAGATCGGGCTGAAACTATAGCTACAAGCTATCCAAGGATGGTACTATAGAATGTCACCTCAAGGTAGGCCTAGTGGCGTCATCTCTTGGTTAGGCCGGAAACTTATCAATCCACCCTCGTACTTGTAGTTATGTAGGTATGTGGTAATGTAACCTTTGAATAAAGAAATAAATTGTAAGTTGAAAGCGTATATTTTTAACTCTTTGTAAAAATATGATTAATATGTATACAAGTTCTTAACATTTTTAATTGTCTAACACGGGATGGTACTTTTAACTCCAACTAAACCAAGACCAGATCCAGACGTTTTGATGATTCCAGATGGTCCTTCGATAATTGTTCCGAATGTCTTGGTTACAACTGGGGTTACAATTGTTTTAGGGAGGACTGGAACGGTAACAATAGGAGCACTTTTAATTATTGGAGAAACAACAGTTTTCGTGGTCCAAACAGGAACAGTCTGAATCTTAATTGGATCGTGTTGGATGATTGTAGATCCATGGGAAATTAGTTTGGTACTGGTAATAATGGGAGTACTCTTGATGATGGTGGGGGCGGCTTCAACCACTACAGTTTCGTGAGATTTGGCTATCAAAGGTACTTCATGGGATACAAGAACTGGAGCTGGAGCCAAAACAGGTGCGAGTTTATGGGAGTCTAATTCAATTGCTCCAGCGTCGGCACGGGCACTGATTTTACTACCATCTGGACCAAGCACTGTAGCAGATGTTTCTGGTCCTTTTATAAGATTAGTGGTAGCCCAAGGGGCGGCATTAGCTCCGGATAGGGCAACGCACAATACAACAATCTAATAGAAAAGAAATGTTAAATAAGCATCTATTTAATTCAATTTTAATAAAAAATAATCAGAATACTTACGAAGGTGTTCATGATGGTACTTTGATTAGGTACTGTAGTGGTAAACTCGGATTGATGATTTAACAGCAATTTTTGAGTTCTTATATACGAAAAAGTAAAGTAAATCCAAATTAGTGAATCATTAATGAGCAACTAAAGAGCCCTACTATTACTTTCATATAAGTTGCGTTATTAAGAAATTGAGATTCCGGATATGTTTCCTTCTAATTGGCTATATTACTAATTGGAAGATAAGCGTCTTTTGTGATAACGAACGTGAACGTAACAAAATTGAATCAATATAACGAATATAGGTAATTATTTCACAGCTATTATGCATACTTTTGTATAAATAGTTTTTTTAATACCTTTCCTCTAGGCGCAATTTTTAATTCGTATTAATTTATGTGGTTCAGTACTAGTATTTGTTATCTTTTGGTATGATATTATTTACTTAGTGAGGAAAAAATGTAATAACTGTCACCAAATAGCAGAGATTAGAATTATTATTAATTTTGGAAACAAAATTATAAAACATGAAATATGATAAATAGTGGTATCCGTAACATCTTTTCTAATTAGTTTTTTTTAAAGCTTCGATATAAGAAAAAAAAAAGGATTCCTATATGTTCACCTACCTACCTGAACCTTTAGGTATAAATTTAATATTATGTCATCCGACATGGGCACCTACGCTCTGGGGAAAATACGTTAAATGTGTTTTATGATTAAATATGGTAGTTTGATCTTTAAAGTTCATAAAACAATAAAGTGTCCCTTTTTTAAGGAGTACGTTTTTGAGTAGTTTTAAAAAAGGTACTTCTTTCAAATTTTTCTAAATAACTCAAAAGCGAAGCAATTCGTAATTTTTTTTAAAAAATTAAGAAAACGAAGTAGAAAGTTTCAAGAAAATCGCCGTTTT